TTTCATTGGGCTGATAACTGATTGTTTATGTTAATATTGGCAATTCATGTCCTTATTTGTAACAAAATCTTTGCTTCCCCCTCACTATATTTACAAAGTTAATTATTGTATATCTCTTTGTAAATTTAGCTAACATCTCTTTTTGATGAATAGAGTATGTTCCTACATTTTTCCATAACATTTTCGTTAACCAAAAAGAAAATCAATGACTTTGTATGAACTGAAAATGCCTGGCAATCCAAGCCCTACATCCTGTTTTTGTCAGTATCTGTCAAGCTTGGTCGGAATTAAGCGAAAAGTTCTCAGGGTCCGTACGGCAGGTCTAATTACAGTAGTTTGTCGAGGAACTGGAACTGTAAATCCTTCAGGAATAATTATCACCTTTCGTAGCCGCGACGGGTAGCCGCCCCCTTTCCCTGGCGTCCCTTTTACATCCTTTCTCCTCCCATCCGACGGCCTACCGGGGTGAGCTACGGCGGAATTATAGGGTGCACCAGGCGTAAACCCTCGGCCTTCCTCGGTAATTATCCAACTGCGTAAATGTTACCCTTTTTATTTATCGCCCGGCCAGTCCATATCGGCGATCCTGGGTATCATTTTGTGCAATTAGACTTTTCTGCCTCCACTTCTTCAGCCAATTCCGCTTCGTACAGCTGCGCTTCAGTTTATTTTTACACTGTTCGTATTTGATCTGCTCGGCGGAGTAATAACACCATATATTCCAACTCTTCTAGAGAGCATTTCGATGAAAGAAAGTGATTTTTGTTTACATGAGCCTGGGATTAATACATACGTATTGTTTTCTTTTTACGTTCTTTCTTTTTCAACTCTAATAGATTATTAAAATACACATATTGGACTATTTTAGAATTTACTTAATTTGTACTCTGATGAAGTAGTAATACCAAATGTAGACATCCAAAAAGAAATCTGGCTCACTCGAGACTAAAATTACTATAGTAAAAAATCTACACACACCTAGAAATTATCTGTGTGTACGAGGTGAAATAATAAAATGTACTTATTGAAAACTCCGTTTTGTCGAGTTATAACGTTATAATGTTATAACATCACACTTCGAGAGGAAATAAAACGTCCTTATATATGCTCCAAATGCGTTCTCGACAAAACGGAGTTTTCAATAAGTACAGTTTATTATTTCACCTCGTACACACAGATAATTTCTAGGTGTGTGTAATTTTGTCCTCCTCCTTAACCTCTACTCTGGCTCACTTCTTCTCCCTTTATCTTATCTATCTTATTTCCCGTCCATAATCCTCATTAATCTACGGGTATCTATCACCATTTGTATCATCTATGTATCGCTATCTCTCACTCTTTCTCTTTCTCTTTCTCTCTCTCTCTCTCTCTCTCTCTCTCTCTCTCTCTCGGTCTCCCTCTCTATCTATCTATCTATCCCACACTCTCTTTTCTCTCTTACTTTCTCTACGTCTTTCTATTCCTCACTATTACTCTCACGTCTTCTTTCTTTATGCCTTTCTCTCTCTCTCTCTCTCTCTCTCTCTCTCTCTCTCTNCACTCACTCACTCTCTCCCTTTCCCTTTCCCTTTCCCTTTCCCTCTCTACCAACCTCCCCCCCTCTATCTCTGTCGCTAATCGACTAAAATACCTTTCTTATTTATAAAACCTTGTACTCACTAGTTTTTAAATAATATCATTTAACCAATGTACTTTGGTAAAGGGATCAAAATAAAATAGTAATTCTGAGCTATAAAGCTATTATTATAAAAGATAACTTATATAAAAATAGTTCGTGTTTTAAACCCGCTTTGAACTAGAGAGGGCGTAACTTTGCAGTAAGAGGTAGCAAATTTCATGAAAAATAATGTCTATAAAATAAGGAAGACAACGTCATCGTAGCAAGTTATATCGATTCTCATTACCGTAGGATTAATATTAACGCATTATTCCTCGCCTTTTTCGGGTTGCCTAATTAGAAAAAAAAAACCGGCAAAGTTGAGACAGTCATGGGGTAATATGGCTCATTTGTCTTCAGCAGTCTGGCAGTGTCAGGCAAGATTTTATTCATAGATCAGACGGACGATTAAAACCCCGCCTGTAACACAATCTTGAAAAAAACATACTACATAGGAAGTACATTAAATGGGAAGAAACGGAGGAGACATGTAACCTCAGGCTAATTGAAAATTCTATTCCTTTTCCCCTTTTAGAATGTACGTATTAACCCAGCCCATAGATACAAGTGGATATGGAATTCCATTTCTACTCTCTTCTGGAATATTTTGCCAACAACAACCGACATTTTGCTTTAATCTCTGCCTTGTTTATTACAAAATCATGGGAGAAAACAATTCTATGTCTTAACCGTCGAGATAATGGTCGCGGGTTACATCCCAGTTGGCTCTCTCGCTGGGCCGGATTTATAAAAATGATCTCTTGTAGCGTGTTTTGACATGGCGCCAAGCTTGTAAGCTATAGAGCCTTTTAAAATATTATTAATGCCTTGTATTAACCACACCAGGTAGTTCTTTTTTTAAGACTCGAGCCGTAGTCTCGGCACGAAAAAGAAACATAAACGTAACTTTCGAAAAAATCATTACGTTCATGATCTTGGACTCCAACCTGCTTTGTTTACTTTTCTCTGTATAACAACCTTGTAACGCCATTAATATGCTCTTGTGTTCTATTTTTGAATTCTTTGTTAATCAAGACCTAGGGGTGGGTGAATTTTAATCAATGTCAATGTTATCGCCGCCAAGTTTTCAAGGCTAGAATGAGATTACATTAAGTCTTAACATCTGCCTACAATGTAATATCTGTCAGGCAGAAACTCAACAAAATAGCAAATCAGTTAATCTTACACATATTTATATTGTTTGAATTGTGTGGTGATTAGTGACTGTTAATCGATGATTATTCAGAAATCGTGAGATGCGTTCTGGTGTGATGTAGGTTTCAGACAAACATTTTCTTTATCGTGCCAACGTTTCGATCTTTATTGAGATCATCTTCAGGGCCTTGTGTTGTCTGCATTTCAACAAAAGGTTCTCTGATTGATAGCCGATGCGAGTTTCTTCTCATTGTTGGCGATGTCCTTCCGAATATCTTTTTGCTTAGAAATGATAAATGATGGAGTGAGTGTGGTGTTCAATCCTTTTTAAAAACTACTACTTTTTGCTTCGTGTCCATATGTAGTTGAAATTTGTTCATGAGAAGTTTTAATCACGACCTATCAATCGGTTTCTATCAGCAGAGGTTATATCAACCCTCGGGGTGCCGGTGTTTTTTGAAAAAAAAAAAAAAAAAAAAAACATTTATAAGTAAGTCAGGTTCGAATGCAGGGCCGCTGGATTCGAACCCGTAACCTTTACCTTACAGTGATGAACGCCGTGTCATCACCTAAACCCGTGAGGCCACCGACGCCCCTCTGGTGCTATCTTTATGTTTAACTAACTCTACATCCATCTTAATATTCACTATTTCTCTTTTTCCACAATATCTTAATTTATATTTCTCATCTTTACAGGAAATCACAATCTGTCTATTTATCTTTTTAAGAAGCTATTTCTTTATCTATACATATTATTCAGGTCGTGCATTGGTTATTGCATTGGTTTGGTTATGCATTGTTACACTGTATGTTTCTCTGTCTAATTTTAATCTATTTTTGTACTGTCTTTGTCAGTCTTTCTATACCTCTTCATTTCAATTTTTATTTTTACTATTTGCAGTGTAAAATTGGTCAAGTTTGGTCTCTCACTCTTTCTCCTCCTTCCATTTCTCTTCCTTTTCATTCATCCATTTCTTTCAATTTAGGTTAGCCTGTGTCAATTCCTAACCATGTACATTCTGTCTGCTTATGAAATGCTCTCTCTCTCTCTCTCTCTCTCTCTCTCTCTCTCTCTCTCCATCTCTCTCCATCTCTCTCCCTTTCTCCCTCTCTCTTCCTACCCACTATCCCTTCCTCCCTTCTTCTTCATCTTCATTTATTGATATTTACCGATGATGACGAAGGTGTAGGATGCGCTTGGTATGATGTCCAGACAAAATAGACTGGAAAATACAAACTGAATAAAATAAATATTAGGAGGAAATTTGAGGGAAGAGAAAATGGTTATGCTGACGGATTCAATGCGCTCGATAGAGAGCATTCAAAATTCCAGTTTACAGTTAGGTTCCTCCTATATCGTCTCCAAAATTATGGAATAAGCCATGGGCTATTAGAACGGCAAGTCGAATGCAACTTCCGTTGGAGGAGTACAAGGCAATGAGCTTGTGGGTAGCATGGCAAGGCAAGCTGTGATAAAAGGGCAAAATATAGAATCCCCTATCCTAGTTGGGCAGTTTGAAATTGGAAGTCTATGACAATGGCACAAGCAACTAGACTCCTACTCCACTGGCAAATTTTACCGGGATATAAACCCGACGATCCGCAGGAGGCCATGGTTCCTTAACTTTCCAATGTCTAAAAAAAAGAGTGCACTACAATAAATAAAATCAGGTCTAACCACGGAATAAGTGGAACATATTTGAAGAAAATAGGGCAAAGACGGAGTGACCTATGTTTAGTATGCGAAAAGACCTGGAACATATAATAAAAGTAAAAAATTATAATAATGAAAGAACAAAAATGTTAGACAGGCTGTACAGAATTGAATCTGATCAAGCCGTTTAATTATAAATCCGTACTGCAATTAAATTATTTGGAAATGTACAATGCAGTTTTGGATTTTCTAAGGGCTACTACTTAAAAATTTGATCAGAAAGGGAAACAGATTTTCTCTGAGAATTGCCAAAGAAGCAAAGGCAAAAAAATCTTCATATATGCATCTTTATCTTTCTGTGTATTTACCTTTACTTCTTCCAATACCAAACCACATACCTTTATCTACCAAAAGAACGTAATGAGACAGACTGACATTCAGGACACTCTAGCGATGCGATCTTGAAGCGTACCAATTTTATTTGTATGCTTGTACCTAAATCATATCAAAATACTTTATGATTAATTTAATTACCGTTGGTCAAGTGTGCTGCTTTTTTCTTCGAGGGTTGGCTCGGCGCAGTACCTTCGAGTTCGGAAGATGTATCAGAACTCGACCCTCCTCCCCTGTCGTAGCCGTACCAGCCCAGCACCTCTTTCATCGCACTTTCAGCATAATCCTAGACAAATCAAATTAAAATAATTAATAACCAAAACATTACATTTCATAAGTTTTAGAAACAGTTTCCAGATAATATTATACTAAATGATGAGGTTAGTTTTTAAAACGAGTTGACAGAACTTTTTTTTTCAGATGGTGTCATACGGTTGAAAGGTTACCATCTCTGGCTTCGCCCATCCTCGCTAAGTGTTAAACGGCATTTTGGCATAGGGCCACGATCAGCAGACGTCTGAACATTTAAAAATCCTACTGGACATATAGAATTCTACCGAGACACGGCCAACGAGATGTGCAAAGTGAAGGTAGGTAGCAAATAATTATGTAAAATTTAAATTTGAAGACAACCCATGGTTTATTCATTAGATCAGTTGTTCCAGTATGTATGGATAACGCTAAGGATGCAAACTCTCTTTGTTTAAAAAAAGTCTATTGAATTATACATATAATAATACATATAATATTATAACTATTTGATTATATATTATATATATAATCAAATACTTAGACAATACTTATAAAGCTGCTACCTTTTTTTTTGCATAAAAACGTGATATTAAACTCTTCGACAGATAAATATGTAAGATCAATTAAGTTACATTAAACAAACTTCATACAGTCAGATCCGTAAAGCTCAAACGTATGGTTTAAATAAAAAACCGACATTCTCTAAAGTTCTTTATAAACACTAAGCCTGCCAAGTGACTAACGATAAAGTCCGCCTTTTCGAAGGGCGTTTTATCGAGAAAGAAACGCTACCGGCTTGCTACTTGAAATCGCTCCAAAGGATTAGACGAAGCTAAGCATTTCACAGTGAATGGGCTTTATCTGCGTCCGGCATCTCGTTCTTATCGGGCTTTACGAAGAATGCAAACCTGTATGAGAAAGCCAGCTGCCTCCTCCGGTTACGCAGGTTGTTCTGTTTACACAACACCGTCCTACCAACTTCTCCTGGGAATCATGTACCGGTGTTTATTTTGAATTAAATCACAATTAATTTGTTTTTCCTAAATTGTTTCTATTGAAAAAACCTTACAAAACTGACAACTAAATGTGCCAGAGTTTCTCTCTACCAGAACATGCCACATGTGCCACACTAAATTATTGATGTCACAAAAATATAATTACCATAATTGTTGTTTTTTCTTGCTGTCTTAAATTGGTGGTGTACGTAGGCTTAAGAGTGGATTCAACTAATCTACGCTGATCATTTTACTACATTAGTTCCTCATTGAAGATGGAATCAAACCGAAACGCGTATGAGACATAAACCAGCGAGAATAGACGGACCAATGTGATCTAGTGGTGTTCTGTTAAACAAAAAAAACGCTATATGCTGCTCTCTCTCTCTCTCTCTCTCTCTCTCTCTCTCTCTCTCTCTCTCTCTCACTCTCTCTCTTTCTCCCTCTCCTCCTCCCTCCCTTTCCCTTCCTTTTCATCCAACCATCTCTCTATCTTTCAACTTACGATAAATTCAATTCAATTGAATTATGTATCTATGTATTTTTCTTTATAATCGTATGTTTAATTAACTATCTATATTCCATCTACCTATCCATCTCTCCTCCTTTCTGCCTATTTCACAATGTCAATATCAAACTCAAACTTGTAATTCTCTCTCTCTCTCTCTCTCTCTCTCTCCCTCCCTCTCACCTTCTCTCTTTCTATCTATCTATTTATTGTACCTATCTATCTCTTATCCATCTATTTATCTATTTCTGTCCATATATTTTTCTCCTTAACTTTTAAATTTTATATTTCTATCTATCTCTCTGTACATTGATCAATCTATCTATTTCTTTTTCAATTGATATGACTGCCTATCCTCTCTATTAAGTCTGCTCAGTCAATCCAACGATGTACCTATAATCTTGTCGACCACGCTCCCGATGAAACACCGTTAAGCTAAAAAGTCATTTACATGTAGGTTTTCATATTGAAAATTTTAGTACGTTCGGATAAAAAAAAATTCAGCATTAGAGAAAATCAGATTTGATCAAGCTCAAACCCCGATCTCTCACCATGAAATACACAGCGGCAGAAACAATCAAATGAGAAAGTTTTGTTTATAAGTACAAACTATGGAGTAAGAATAAGAATGCTGTTTCTGGAATGATCCTAAAGGAATTTGTGGAAGATCGAGAAATAAAATCAAGATAGCATCTGGCCGGATCCAACCCCTGTCAACAATTTTTTTATCAGATGTCTGATAACTTGAATATTTCTGTAATATAATGTGAGGTCTCTTTTTTTGTTTAAAATGTATTTTGTTGTTTAGATTTAAACCAGTGTTATATGAATAACATCCTGATCTCTTATATTGTACAATATACTTTTCGGACAAAAAACAGCCTGTTTATTGTAGGTCGAGTGTCAAAGTGAAATTTGATACCTAGTATGAGAAACATCGATTTTCAGAGCTTTTTAAGGTATTAAACATAAACTAGGATGGTACAAGAGCGGCGGGAGGGATTGCGTTGAATATAAATGAATTTGTAAATGACGGCAGACCTCGCCGACATTCGAAACCCTCGCTCAGCCTTTAGCATATAAATGTGTAACACGATCCATCGGATACGAATAGTAAATGTCGAAATAAAATAAATAAATTCGCCCCCGACGGCGAAGAGGGTTGCCACAGGTAAGGGGCACATGTGGGAAGAGAGTGACACCGAAGAAGAACCCCCGAGTATATTATTTCACAATGTATATTTAGCTAAGTAAGAATAAATAGTGGGTTTGGCCGGAGGTGCTAAAAAGCGTGTAAGATAAGAGGGCACACAGGTATCCGGTTTCTTTAGATATACATCAAGACCCAAAACGAGACTTTACGCCGGCCCGCAGGGAGCTTCGTCCCAGACCGACCCTCCGAAAACCACGGAAAAGCCCCGGTGTACATTTCTCTTCTCAATTAAATCCAAATTAAGGTAATTAGAGTGGATGGGAGGAATTAAAATCACTAGGGAAAACGGCTGGCCTCAACCCCTAGCCAGGAATACGAGATCATCCGTAGATATCCATTTCCTGGCGAATAATAGCTGGTGCTTTCCTGTGCTCTTTATACAGGGTTGATAGATTACATTCTGTATCCCGTTTTATAATACTATTTATTAATTTTCCCAAAGTATACTGACTACTAAGTTTAATCATGTCAACAAAGATGATGGCAACTATACTCGAACTAGCTCTAACAACCTACGACGGAAACCGTAAATCTGCTGTCAGACATTGAAAGCAACATAAGACGTTGAAAATCCTAAATAACACCTATACAGATGATTCTAATTAGACGATATTCTTTGTTTGACATGAGTTTTTTAAATTAAATTTTACATCGTGTCTAATCACATGGCTTTCTTATTCCTGTTATTATTATTATTCTGATTATGAAAGTTAAACATAAATTCTAGCATTGTGCTACCATTAATTACCAACCTCTAACAGCCAAACTTAAAAAAGCGACCCTAAATAAATCTGATATCTTTGTTACACATTACAAACAAATTTTAAATTTAAATCTATAATTTCTTCATTTAGTGTTCAAAATGAAATGTGTTCAAAATTACTATCAAACTTTTTTTGTACCAAGGTCTTTGAGCAGATGTAATACAGGTTGTATCGCAAGGGCGTGTCCTCAGCCCCATATTCACATTGGCCAATAGTCAATCACTACATTCCATCATTCAATCATAAATGAAAAAATGTATTTTATTAAGATAATAATTGATTAAATATAAAAAATAATTAAAACATTGATCTATAAATTTAAGGCAAATTTTTCTAGTGATTTATTTATTTTTGTTAAGTTGAAAGCATTTGGGGGGGGGGGATTTTGTGTACCATGCTTTACGTTTTATCTATTTTTTGAAGATAATAATTCAAATGATTTTGCAAATTAAATTCTTATTTCTCCAGTGATAGGCGAGATTATTAAGTTGGATGGAATGGGTGGTGTACTGCAAGGGAGTGTTCAAAGTCCCATGCTTCACAAGGTGTAAATCAGGATATAGTCACTCGTAAGTGCAGAATTTTGCGAAGATTAGTTAGAAAGCTTTACAAATTGAAGGCTATCTCTCTTCGAAAAGTTGGGAGAATATCAAAACACTTGATAAAGAGGGAAGGCGGTGATTGTGATCGTAGGAGGCAAAGAAGTAGATAGATTGAATGACTCAAATCATAAACAGTCTTTTTCAATCTTCTTGGGATGAATAACTAATTAAGATTAGTCATCCAAAAAATCTAATAGCATTAAATTAACGCCTCCCAGGCTTGAAATTGTCGTATTTCCTCGCAATTAAAATAAAAGTCGATGTTGAGGGAAGCATTGAGGCTGAGACTAATTGCAAGAACATTTATCTGAATTTTGGCCGGTTGCCTTCTTTTCATGTCGGTTAAAACCTCCTCCTGGCTAGCCTTCTGGGTGATAAATCGAACAAAAGTGCATAACTGCGAAATGAAGTAACTCCAGTTTTCCGCAGATTCGTAAAAAAAATGCAAGGCAAAAAGCCTTATTTTTAGAAAATAGTCAAAACTGAAATACAAGGCAACAGCATGTCTTCCATCTAATCTAATGTTCATTCGAATTAATTAATTTAAAAAAATCATTTTTCAACTAATATTTTTGTAAATTTGAGACTTGCCCTTTGTTAATAAGCATCTCAAAAAGTAAGCACAAAAGTTTTTTTCTTAGAAAGCCAGTTTTATGGGAGGCTAGATGGTGTCAGATTCTCTCATTACATTTTTTAACATTAATTGTAATCTGCGGCCTTTTAGGCTTAATAAAATGATACTTCCAATTTTCTCATTTTTCATTTTTGGAATCGGTCGAAAACAGTAATGTCGTGGGACATTAATAATTCGTTGACCTAATTATCCATGCATCGGCTAATTCATTATTTACCTTGAAGTTGATCAACGTTAACTAAAACTAAATGTTTCTGGGTTCGTCTTTTCTCACTGAAGTCGTTGCCTTGGCCATCAGCCATCTGAATTGACCAGACA